CTTTAACTTAGCGGTGGTGACGTGAAGTCATGTGACCGTGCTGTAGTTCCTTTACAGCCCAACATTAGCCGGCTTTAACTTAGCGGTGGTGACGTGAAGTCATGTGACCGTGCTGTAGTTCCTTTACAGCCCAACATTAGCCGGCTTTAACTTAGCGGTGGTGACGTGAAGTCACGTGACCGTGCTGTAGTTCCTTTATAGCCCAACATTAGCCGGCTTTAACTTAGCGGTGGTGATGTGAAGTCATGTGACCGTGCTGTAGTTCCTTTATAGCCCAACATTAGCCACCTTTAGCTTAGCGGTGGTGACGTGAAGTCACGTGACCGTGCTGTAGTTCCTTTATAGCCCAACATTAGCCGGCTTTAACTTAGCGGTGGTGATGTGAAGTCATGTGACCGTGCTGTAGTTCCTTTACAGCCCAACATTAGCCGGCTTTAACTTAGCGGTGGTGACGTGAAGTCATGTACGTCTTACCTGAACGACTCCAACAGAGTGACCTGAGCAAAGAGTCCCGATGTAAGCCAGTCCCACCGTGGATCCTTCAAAGTCAATGCCACTGCAACACAAGACATTTCAAAATAAGAAACACTTATAAATGAATTAGGACAAAAATCATTAGTACGCTGTTTAGAGAATCATGCACATCCATCCATTAAGTTCTCTATTTATTAGGGCTGTCAAGTTAACGCGTTAATAACGCGTTAACGCAAAAAAAAATTAACGCCACTAATTATTTTAACGCGATTAACGCATGTGTATTTTTTTTCCTCGGCCGCCCCGTAGTTTCAGAGCGCATCGAGTTTAAAATACCATCTACAAGCTGCTGCTGACAGCCCCGCTCCTGCCGCCCGCTTGTGGCAGACCACACTTCCACGCTCACCGGCAGCAGGCACCGACTGGCTGTTGGGAGGACCGGGAGGGTGTGTATGTGTGGCCCGAGCGAGCGAGAGAAAGACCTTACGTGCATTGTTGTTGTTAGCATCTGGTGCTAGCTAGCTGCGCTAACAGATATAAGGAGCTGCTTAAATGAAAACAGAGGAGCGACATTTCGCCGACAACTGCGCCGAGCACTTGACTTTATGCAGGAAGCCAGACAGTGGGACATTGTACGAGAAGTCAGCACACTCAGCACGGATAGTGCAACATGATTGCAGCGTCCAGGCAGCTCCCGTTCGAGCATATGCCTTGAGTTGCACATAGCTCCAACGATCCATCACACACACACACACACACACACACACACACACACACACACCACACACACACACACACACACACACACACACACACACACACACACACACACACACCACACACACACCACACACACACACACACACACACACACACACACACACACACACACACACACACACACACCATTTGTATTGTATTATTGTATGAGAGGTTCCAGGTTGTTGTGTTTAATATTCATGGGAATATTTGTCATTGTTCAAATTATAATAAACATTAGCATAAAGCATATTTGTCCACTCATATGTTGATAAGAGTATTAAAAACTTGAAAAATATTCCTCTAAGGTACATTTAAAACAGATCAAAAATGTGCGATTAATTTGCGATTAATCGCGATTAACTATTTTAATCGACTGACAGCCCTACTATTTATATATTAAATATCAGATATTCATAGAAATGGAACATTTGTTTTTTTACAGGAAACATGGCCGACACCAGCCGTTCTGTGCCAGCCGTTCTGTGCCTCTCAACGATGCGTAATACGATACTTCAGAAATAATGAAATAATATACTGCAATTGACACAATGGTGCAAGTTAAATGGAGGACCAAGCAGGAGTAAGTAAACTAAATACATGTTAATTTGAATGAGATAAAAATGAATGTAAACTTAGATACTATACAGTAGAATAAAATAATGCATATTGCATTAAATATGGACAGTAAACATAATTACTGCCACAGTTCAGGATTTAAACTGGCATTATAGTGGTTTAATGAGACATTATAACTGAGTATTTAAGTAATGTTTTAAAGCCTCTGTTGCAAAATGTTTTGGTTTTTGGAGAGAGAAGATTCTTCTCTTCTTTAACAGAGTTTTTTCAACTTTGGCAGCGATTAGTAACCTGCATGGACATGTTTGTTCAGCTAGCAAGGTTATCTCACTGGCCTCCTTCTCATGAATCCAGTGTTTAGGGCTATTGTTTCAGATATGTTATTGTAGGAAAGGGTGTGTGTGTGTGTGTGTGTGTGTGTGTGTGTGTGTGTGTGTGTGTGTGTGTGTGTGTGTGTGTGTGTGTGTGTGTGTGTGTGTGTGTGTGTGTGTGTGTGTGTGTGTGTACTGCATTTCGCTGCAACAACCTTTTTGCTGATAAAGCGAATAATGTATATCAATATGCAAATACATGCAGGTTACAAACCTACAATGAGAAGAGGGCGGATGCACCAATGTGGTTAAACTTGTGAAATAAAACATGTCTGGAAGGCAGTTGAGAAACCTGAGGTAACGCTTCAATTATTGCCTCAATGAAGCCGCACCCAATGCCAACTCTTTGCCAAGTTACCAACAGCAAGTGGCCCTAAAGCAGGAGGTATTGTGTAAGCTGCTTGGTATATTATGACATTTTAATGAATGGTTATTTGATTTTTTTCTGAAATATAAAAGACACAAACCAAGTTGTTGTACTTCTTACTGGCTTTAGTTTCTACTCATAGGTCTTTTATTTGCGTTGTTCTCTTCTTGTTTGCTTGTAGCTTCTTTGAGCACTGCGAAAATGACTATGTAATGTCTTAGGCCATGCTAGTGACTCTGTGCTTGAGCTACGCTAAATGCTAACAATAGCAATGCTAACATGTAAATGTTTAGCAGGCTTTGTTCCCAATCTTACCAACATGCTAGCATGCTAAAATGTTCTATACAGCACTATTTGGTAATAATATAGTTGCACCATCTTATTAAGCATTCTCAATAAAAGGGGCACAAATCTATCTGTTGTTGTACTTGTTGATTGCTTTAGCTGTTGCTACTCATAGAATAACAAGTCTGAAGCCATGCTAACTCTGTGCTTGATCTGTGCTAAATGCTAACAATAACAACGCATAGTAAATTGCAATTGTACAGCGCTAAGCACAAGTACATGTTCAGCTAATTTAAATGTCTCACTTCTTGGCTGCTTTAGTTTCTGTTACTCATTGAATAAAAAGTCTACAGTCATAATTCTGTGCTTGATCTGAGCTATATGCTAAAATGCTAACGTGCTCACCATCTTACCAACATGCTAGCATGCTAACATTTGCTATTAAAGTACATTTTCAGCTATTGGAAATGTCTGTGTGTGCAGGCAATAGCTGATAATGTAGTACAAATGGATATGTCTTATATTAATGGTATTTGTTCATAAAGTATTTACTTATTATTGTTCTATTTATTTAAGTATGTATCTTTATTTTATATTTTTATAAATACTGGATTAATTATAATACTAATACTATTACTTGGTAATGTATATATGTACTTTTTTGTCCTTGGGCTTGGAGTAAAGTATGCATTTTTTGATAAAAACTCTCAAGTCAAAGAGGTCTCTGGTTATTATGGTTATTATCGAGTGTTTGTATAAATGTGTCTTTGATTGTGTATAAACATATTAGATCTTTATATATATTTGTATTTGGGATTGTGGGAAACCGTATTTCGATCTCTCTGTACACACAAACTGAAAGATTGACAGTACAATTGACTTTGACTTTCTGCGACCTGGTCTGACCTGATGAGATGTGCGTTGTCGTGCTTTTTCCTTTTGGCCAGGTCAGAGTCCCTCCAGCCCATGAAGGCGTTCAGGTTGGCTCCGGCCGAGGGGGTCACAGAGATCAGGTCTTTGATGGACCAGATCTCCAGACCCACCAGAGCAACGAAGGTCCTCAGGGGCTTGTACGCCTGAAAACAAGCACTACAGGTGAATAGGGTAAAACATTTAACTAACACATCTTCCGGCGCAGACTGAAAACTCATCTCTTTCGACTCCACTTCGAGCGATAGAACTGCTAACAGAGCACTTATAAAGGGCTGGCTTATCTAAAGCCAGTTGAGTAGCACTTGAAATGTTTGGCTCTATGAAACCTGATGTACTTTATGATTCTGTTTTCTTCAAGGTTGTGTCTTCCTGGTCGAATGTACTTATTGTAAGTCGCTTTGGATAAAAGCGTCAGCTAAATGCAATGTAATGTAATGTAACAGATATCACCATGAAACTTCCCCTGTTCCTCACTGACTTTAAGACAATACTTTTTTGTATTACAATTTTTTTTTAAACGTTACATTTAATTATGCAAATGAAGCATAATCTTATTAACTATGTGCTACATTTGCATATTTACTATAACTCGATTTGCTCATATAAGCATTTTAATTGTATTGCATTTTCTTTGTGCGGATTTTTACTTAAAGGTGGGGTAGGTACGTTTGAGAAACCGGCTCGAGATACACTTTTTGTTATATTCCATGGAATGCTCTTAACATCCCGATAGCAATGAATATCTGAAGTGCTTTGACACAAAATCCATAAAAAAATCATTATCTGTGGAAGCCGTGGTGCTGTAAAAAGCACGACCAATCATCTGAGACGGCCCGGCTAAAGTAACTGGATGGCCTACCTGCCTGTCAGCCTTCCATCTGTGCACAAACATATCTCGTGCCCTCATTGGTCATGTGCGCGTTCGTGTGTGTTGGAGGAGGGGCTCTGTGAGGAAGTGGCAGATTTGCGCACTCAAGCTGGTTTCTCCAAAATTAACTACCCCACCTTTAACTTCTTATGTTCATATAAATATGTCAGTCAGACGTGTTTCTTAATATGTTTATTAGAAGCAGCATATAGTTTGAGTTTGGCGTCTAGGCTCGGGCCTCATCACTCCACAGATTTACAAAGAACATTGAGTGATGATTAGATAACTACCCTCCGAGCCTACAGGTGGAGCTGGGGTGGAGCTGGGGTGGAGCTGGGGTGGTGGTGGGTCAGGCGAGCAGCAGCAACAACATGAAACACAGCAGCAGCAAGTGAATGCAGCAGTGGCAGCTGCAGGCAGAGGCAGGAAGACCTGGCAGCTTAAATAGAGCGGCATGTAGGAGAATGTGTTTGGTTGGTTGTAAGAGGGACGGGCGCGTCACGTGTATGATTGGTGCTAGAGTTGACTGCCTGAACTAGCTCGCAGGCTTCGCCCCATTTGTATTATTTTCTATTTACACATATTTTAATTTTAAGTACTTTTTTGTAATGGTTTTGTCCCCTGGAATAAAAATAAATCTGTTTATGTGTCATTTTCCCAGCAATAGCAGAAAGCGTTGACTCACCAAGTTAACAAAGTTGACGATTTCAAAAGTCCTCTCCCTAATCTTCTGCAGATCCCGGTTTCTCTTCTGGAACTGAAACATAATGTCGTCATGTTAATGAGAATAATCACTTCCTGTTCTTCAAAAATATAAAAGTCCCATCGACGAAAATAACCATATATGTGACGCTAATCAGACCAAAATAGTCCCAAAGTGTTAGCATGATGTGTCTGCTCTGCCATCATTACAAATACAAGTTTAGTCATTCACAAAAAAGTGTTGCTAGTACTTCCTGTTTTTCTGTTTTTTCACGGTAAAATTCCATGTGTATTACTTACTGAGCGATTATCAACAACGATGACAAGCTCAAGGTATTTCTGCTGATGGAGGATAGATAAACCCTGAAAGACAAAAGACAAAAGACGACAACAAAATATTGAAATGGTAATATCCAATTTATTAAATGTGGAGCACATTTGTCAAAATATCTTTAAAGGGGCCTATGGTATCAGTATTTAGTGTCTCTACTTTAAAGAGTCATCTCCTGCTGATGTTCAGGTGTATATCAGTATCTAGTGTCTCTACTTTAAAGAGTCCTCTCCTGCTGATGTTCAGGTGTATATCAGTATGTAGTGTCTCTACTTTAAAGAGTCCTCTCCTGCTGATGTTCAGGTGTCTATCAGTATGTGGTGTCTCTACTTTAAAGAGTCCTCTCCTGCTGATGTTCAGGTGTATATCAGTATTTAGTGTCTCTACTTTAAAGAGTCATCTCCTGCTGATGTTCAGGTGTATATCAGTATGTAGTGTCTCTACTTTAAAGAGTCCTCTCCTGCTGATGTTCAGGTGTATATCAGTATGTAGTGTCTCTACTTTAAAGAGTCCTCTCCTGCTGATGTTCAGGTGTCTATCAGTATGTGGTGTCTCTACTTTAAAGAGTCCTCTCCTGCTGATGTTCAGTTGTATATCAGTATGTAGTGTCTCTACTTTAAAGAGTCCTCTCCTGCTGATGTTCAGGTGTATATCAGTATGTAGTGTCTCTACTTTAAAGAGTCCTCTCCTGCTGATGTTCAGGTGTATATCAGTATGTAGTGTCTCTATTTTAAAGAGTCCTCTCCTGCTGTTGTTCAGGTGTATATCAGTATGTAGTGTCTCTACTTTAAAGAGTCCTCTCCTGCTGATGTTCAGGTGTATATCAGTATGTAGTGTCTCTACTTTAAAGAGTCCTCTCCTGCTGATGTTCAGGTGTATATCAGTATGTAGTGTCTCTACTTTGAAGAGTCCTCTCCTGCTGATGTTCAGGTGTATATCAGTATGTAGTGTCTCTACTTTAAAGAGTCCTCTCCTGCTGATGTTCAGGTGTATATCAGTATGTAGTGTCTCTATTTTAAAGAGTCCTCTCCTGCTGTTGTTCAGGTGTATATCAGTATGTAGTGTCTCTACTTTAAAGAGTCCTCTCCTGCTGATGTTCAGGTGTATATCAGTATGTAGTGTCTCTACTTTAAAGAGTCCTCTCCTGCTGATGTTCAGGTGTATATCAGTATGTCGTGTCTCTACTTTAAAGAGTCCTCTCCTGCTGATGTTCAAGTGTATATCAGTATGTAGTGTCTCTACTTTAAAGAGTCCTCTCCTGCTGATGTTCAGGTGTATATCAGTATGTAGTGTCTCTACTTTAAAGAGTCCTCTCCTGCTGATGTTCAGGTGTATATCAGTGTGTAGTGTCTCTACTTTAAAGAGTCCTCTCCTGCTGATGTTCAGGTGTATATCAGTATGTAGTGTCTCTACTTTAAAGAGTCCTCTCCTGCTGATGTTCAGGTGTATATCAGTATGTAGTGTCTCTACTTTAAAGAGTCCTCTCCTGCTGATGTTCGGGTGTATATCAGTGTGTAGTGTCTCTACTTTAAAGAGTCCTCTCCTGCTGATGTTCAGGTGTATATCAGTATGTAGTGTCTCTATTTTAAAGAGTCCTCTCCTGCTGATGTTCAGGTGTATATCAGTATGTAGTGTCTCTACTTTAAAGAGTCCTCTCCTGCTGATGTTCAGGTGTATATCAGTATGTAGTGTCTCTACTTTAAAGAGTCCTCTCCTGCTGATGTTCAGGTGTATATCAGTATTTAGTGGCTCTACTTTAAAGAGTCCTCTCCTGCTGATGTTCAGGTGTATATCAGTATGTAGTGTCTCTACTTTAAAGAGTCCTCTCCTGCTGATGTTCAGGTGTATATCAGTATGTAGTGTCTCTACTTTAAAGAGTCCTCTCCTGCTGATGTTCAGGTGTATATCAGTATGTAGTGTCTCTACTTTAAAGAGTCCTCTCCTGCTGATGTTCAGGTGTATATCAGTATGTAGTGTCTCTACTTTAAAGAGTCCTCTCCTGCTGATGTTCAGGTGTATATCAGTATGTAGTGACTCCACTTTAAAGAGTCCTCTCCTGCTGATGTTCAGGTGTATATCAGTATTTAGTGGCTTTACTATGTTTGTGTAAAATGCTATAAGTTGTTATTTTGGCCTAAGAACAAAAATATCTACAAATATTTGGTTTTATTGTAATAATAATAAGTTGTAAAACTGTCATGTGTTTCCAGTGTGCTCATGATATGAAAGTCTAGATGCAGTATGTTTCCTTCAGATTGATTGATTGTTACCGCAGATCTGGAGCGGCTGCGGCTGGTTGGCGGTTCAAAGTCGTCGCTCCAGGTGGTGTTGGTGACCCCACACACTGCCGGGGGGGAATTCCTGTCGTCAAAGGTCGTCACGGCGTGATCCCCTTCATCGCCACCGGACAGCGGCTCGATCAGATACCTCTGCTCAGACGTCCGGAAGTAACCCCTGAAACACCAGGAAACCTGTTTCTTATTCGATTTCAGGAAAGCTACCATGCATTGAAGATAAAGACTTAAAGGAAGATATTGAGTAAGAACATGTTTTTATGAACCACACAGCTTCCCGTCTTCCAAGACCCGACCGGACAAAAAGACGTGGTGCAGGCACGAAGCATACTACCAATAGAAATACATTGCTTTTAAAATCGTTCTGTGTGACACGAAATAAATGCAAAAATCGTGTTGGTAAACACGAATCAATATATTTAATTAATTTCGTGACTATAATGAAATGCTGTGAGACTGGGACAGTGGTGCAGGAATGAGTCCTAAAACCTCAGAATGAGTCAGCGTTTTAGCACTTCCTGTCCCCTGGTCTGGAGGTCAATGGTTTTTTTAATGTGATTTTGGTTGTTAGCCTGAAATAAAGAATATAGAAAATAATCTCTGGTTCAAACCAACGTTTATGATTCTTACACGTTTAGTTCAGCAGGATAATCTCCACATATTAACACCACTTTATGATTTCTGAAGAAAAAAGCTATTGTTGGGCTTTAAAGGAACTACAGCACGGTCACATGACTTCACGTCACCACCGCTAAGCTAAAGGAGGCTAATGTTGGGCTATAAAGGAACTACAGCACGGTCACATGACTTCACGTCACCACCGCTAAGCTAAAGGAGGCTAATGTTGGGCTATAAAGGAACTACAGCACGGTCACATGACTTCACGTCACCACCGCTAAGCTAAAGGAGGCTAATGTTGGGCTATAAAGGAACTACAGCACGGTCACATGACTTCACGTCACAACCACTAAGTTAAAGGTGGCTAATGTTGGGCTTTATGACATTTAGTCGTCTCATTTAGACACTTGTTAGCAACCGCCGTTTTTAAATCCACCAGTGGGGTATTTACTGACGTATTTTATGTCGTAGAACAAAACGTTAAAATCTCTTCAGAGTCAGAAAACCACTGACTTCCAGGAAGTGATAAAATGCTAACTCGTGTCCGGGTTTTAGGACTCATTCCTGCTAAAAAGACACCAGAGCCTGTTTTAGATATTGTAACTACGCAAGGAATAAAACTTGAAGTGGTTACCTGTTACAAATACCTTGGTATCTGGCTTGATGATTGTCTCACTTTTAAACTTCATGTCAATAACCTGCTTAAAACACTGAGGGTTAGGCTAGGTTTCTTCTACAGGAACAAGTCCTGTTTCTCGCTTGAGGCCAGGAAAAGGCTCTGTGACCTTTTGACCTGTGCTGGACTATGGTGATCTGATGTATATGAATGCACCTGATTACCTGATCAAGTTAGATGCTGCGTATCACAGCGCACTGAGATTTGTGACAAACTGTAAAGCATTAACCCATCACTGTACCCTGTATGCAAGGGCTGGTTTGCTTTCACTAACTGTACGGAGGCTCAGTCACTGGTACATTTTCATCTACAAAGCCATGTTAGGGAAACGTCCATCTTATATCTGCTCCCTGATCTCACGGTGAATTGTCAGTGGCTACTGCCTGAGATCGCATGCTGTGGTTTTATTAAATGTGCCAACTACTAGGACTGTTTTAGGGAAGACAGCTTTTAGATGCGCAGCTCCTCTGTCCTGGAACAGTCTGCAAATTAAATGGAAACTGAGCAATTTGGTGCCACTAAATGTTTTTAAAGCAAGGATAGATGCTACTCAATCGGAAACGGTTGGAACCTGTAAATGTCACTAGCTATGTAAACTGTAGTCGCTGTAAATATGCTGTATGATATCCTTTTTGTTTTTCTGTTTATATGTATTCATGTGGAACCCTTGAAAAAGAGATCAATGATCTCAATGGGATTCACCTGCATAAATAAAGGTTTGAACTGAAATGAACTCCTGCACCACTCCATATACGAAACGTCTGAAAACTCACTTGAGTCCATCACATGTGCTGATGCTGACAGATGATTGGCTGTCGTCCAAAATGCTCCCGTGGTAGTAGCAGTGATCCTGATGAGAAGACATTGACATGATGACTGGTTTTAGAATGAGACATTTATTTTTCCTCTTCTTATGTACGGGGAACTGAAAGTCGCTGACAAAGCAAACACTTACGATGTCAGTGGGAGTTGTGGTGACTCGAGCCCCGTCTTCTTGGTAAATAGTCTCCGTGTAGTCTTGGGGAAATAATTCACTGAGGAGGAAACGAGATAAAACTTAAACTGTGGTCAAGCTATTGAGTTATCGAGTGTTAGGATCTGTGAAATCAAAAGAAATGTTATATTTGAAACTAAGCAGTGGAAAGTATAGTACCATTTTGAGGTACTTTACTTGAATCTTTTCCTTTCATGTCACTTTCTACTTATTCTCCACAATATGTTGGAGCGAGTTATTACTTTTCACATGATTAGCTACTTTGAAATGTTGATTTTTACAATGCAAACATGTTCAAATGTGACTTTAAAGGCAATTTATTTGACATTTCTCCAAGTTATTTTTATTTTATTGCAATAGATAACATGGTTCCAACTTCAGAAATATAAAGATTTATGTATTTCCTTTGAGGTTTAGACTGTTGTTTTGATCTTCATCGTCGTGAAATTGCCCTTTTTAGGCTCTGGATATATTTTTGAATGGAATTATTCACTATTTTTACAAAACAATTAATCAATTATAAGAGACAATAATGATAGTCTAAGGCAGGGGTGTCAAACTCAAGGCCCGGGGGCCAAATCCGGCCCGCGACCTAATTTGATGAGCTTGCAAAGAATATAATATACAATTGGTGTAATTGTTGAATATTTTCTTTCAATTATTTGCCCTAGACTTCTGCTTTCAGACGTAGTTATTTAGGAAGATATTACCAGATGCAGGGACAACAATGTAATATAATACATTATTTAATATATATTATATATTTACATATGTATATTTATATAAATTACAACCGGCCCTTTGAGTGCAACCATAATGCTGATGCAGAAATTGAGTTTGACCCCCCTGGTCTAAGGACATAATATCTACCAGTATAACAGTCACAGAGGACATATTTCTACATTGCCTACTATTTGAGGGAGGCTGTGGCTCAGTGGTCTAGTGCGCTGAACTTTGAATCAGGGGAGCACAGGTTCAAACACCACTGCAGTCAGCATGTCCTTGTGTCCCTGGGCAAGACACTTCACCCCAAATTGCTCCGTTGCCCATAGTATTGAATGTATGTTAGTCGCTTTGGATACAAGCGTCTAACAAGTGACATGTAATGTATTTATACTTATGATTGTAACTCACAGTTCATACGTTTACGTAAGAAACATTCTCAGTTGCAGACTAAATATTGTATTCAGTGTGGAATCAGCACTAAAATAAGTATCTTATTATATAATTAAAGAACTGTGTACTTTCTCCACCTCTGAAAATACAACAGAACATATATGTTGCACATGGGTATTAAAGTAAGTGTCTTTCTGAGAATGCTGACACTTGATTAAATCTAAAGTAATAGCCTTGCCTTCAGTTTGTCAAACAGGAAGCCAAAGACACAGAAAACACAAATCGTGTGAATAATAAGAGGAGAAGTAAAACCAGGAACTCCTTTAGACAGACTTCCTTTAGACTTATCATGATTTTCTCAGGCTTTAAGATTAAGTCAATACTTTATTCTGACAGCTCGTGCTCAACTAGCGTACATGCAGTAACGACATTTACTAAGGTGGTTAGCTGAGGATTACATTACATGTTACTTGTTAGACGCTGCAGTGGGGTTTGAACCTGTGACCCCCTGATCCCATCGCACTAGTCCACTGCGCCACACGCCTCTCCGTATATTATACAGTACGGTGGCCTTAAAGGTCATAACACAAAAGCATTTTTTTTAAAAAGAGATTGGTGTCCAAAATGTCTTCTTTTGCTTTTTTGTGATATTTTTGTGTGTTTTGTGAAATATTTGAGTGTTTTTTAAATGTGTTTGAGTTTTTAGATAGTTTTCAGAATTGTGGAAATGTTTTAGTGTTTGTAAAATATGTTTTTTTTACCTTCAGGGCCACCGTATGATTACCTGAAATGTCGGCTTTAGTACCATGATGTATTTGTCTTTTGAAACATGTGAAATAATAACTTACTTATTTTTTTCTAGGTGCATCTCAATGTCTCTTCCTCCCACCGTCATTGCATACTTTATACTCTCCGGCCTGAGATGCTGCAAAGAATAAAGTCATATTATTATTTACATGTCATTTACGTAGCTTGTGCATTCAAGTAGAGAAGTCTCTGTGACACTAAGATAAGAAATAAGGAAGAACGTACGTCTGTGTCTCTTTTTCTGACAGCGTGAAGTCGGACAGGTCGGACCACCTCGTAGTCCTTCACCTCCTCAAAGTCACGACCATGGCTGTCTGTGGGGATACAACACATTACTTTTAATTGACCAATCACAACAGAGCCGGCCAGCTAACCAATCAGAGCAGACTGGGCTCTGTTTTCAGACAGAGGGTGAAAAGAGGTCAGGCAGCACAGAGAGTATGAGAGAAATACAGAGCTTTTTGAACATTAAAGCATGGAGACATGTAGAGACACTACATACTGATATAGACCTGAACATCAGCAGGAGAGGACTCTTTAAAGTAGAGACACTACATACTGATATACACCTGAACATCAGCAGGAGAGGACTCTTTAAAGTAGAGACACTACATACTGATATACACCTGAACATCAACAGGAGAGGACTCTTTAAAGTAGAGACACGACATACTGATATACACCTGAACATCAGCAGGAGAGGACTCTTTAAAGTAGAGACACTACATACTGATATACACCTGAACATCAGCAGGAGAGGACTCTTTAAAGTAGAGACACTACATACTGATATACACCTGAACATCAGCAGGAGAGGACTCTTTAAGTAGAGACACTACATACTGATATACACCTGAACATCAGCAGGAGAGGACTCTTTAAAGTAGAGACACTACATACTGATATACACCTGAACATCAGCAGGAGAGGACTCTTTAAAGTAGAGACACGACATACTGATATACACCTGAACATCAGCAGGAGAGGACTCTTTAAAGTAGAGACACTACATACTGATATACACCTGAACATCAGCAGGAGAGGACTCTTTAAAGTAGAGACACTACATACTGATATACACCTGAACATCAGCAGGAAAGGACTCTTTAAAGTAGAGACACTACATACTGATATACACCTGAACATCAGCAGGAGAGGACTCTTTAAAGTAGATACACTACATACTGATATACACCTGAACATCAGCAGGAGAGGACTCTTTAAAGTAGAGACACTACATACTGATATAGACCTGAACATCATCAGGAGAGGACTCTTTAAAGTAGAGACACTACATACTGATATACACCTGAACATCAGCAGGAGAGGACTCTTTAAAGTAGAGACACTACATACTGATATACACCTGAACATCAGCAGGAGAGGACTCTTTAAAGTAGAGACACTACATACTGATATACACCTGAACATCAGCAGGAGAGGACTCTTTAAAGTAGAGACACTACATACTGATATACACCTGAACATCAGCAGGAGAGGACTCTTTAAAGTAGAGACACTACATACTGATATACACCTGAACATCAGCAGGAGAGGACTCTTTAAAGTAGAGACACTACATACTGATATACACCTGAACATCAGCAGGAGAGGACTCTTTAAAGTAGAGACACTACATACTGATATACACCTGAACATCAGCAGGAGAGGACTCTTTAAAGTAGAGACACTACATACTGATATACACCTGAACATCAGCAGGAGAGGACTCTTTAAAGTAGAGACACTACATACTGATATACACCTGAACATCAGCAGGAGAGGACTCTTTAAAGTAGAGACACTACATACTGACATACACCTGAACATCAGCAGGAGAGGACTCTTTAAAGTAGAGACACTACATACTGATATACACCTGAACATCAGCAGGAGAGGACTCTTTAAAGTAGAGACACTACATACTGATATACACCTGAACATCAGCAGGAGAGGACTCTTTAAAGTAGAGACACTACATACTGATATACACCTGAACATCAGCAGGAGAGAACTCTTTAAAGTAGAGACACTACATACTGATATACACCTGAACATCAGCAGGAGAGAACTCTTTAAAGTAGAGACACTACATACTGATATACACCTGAACATCAGCAGGAGATGACTCTTTAAAGCAGAGGCACTACATACTGATATACACCTGAACATCAGCAGGAGAGGACTCTTTAAAGTAGAGACACTAAATACTGATATACACCTGGACATGAGAATAATAGTGCCTCTTTAAATGTGTTCATCACAGCCTTGTTTCTGGTGTGACCAATCACAGGAAGTGAATCATTTGTGCCATTCGATTAGTTACAAATATGCATTTGGTTTCAGTGGTTTTAACACCACCTCTGTCATATCAACTGTCATTTCCAGATATGAATAAGAAGATTGATTCCATTAATGTTTGATGGAAGTCCGTATTTTATTACTTCCTGTCCCCTGGTCTGAGAGTCAATTGTTTTCAGAATGTGTTTTTGCTTGTTATTGTGAAATAAGGTCTGTGGTTATCACAAGCTGAAGAGATTTTACCGGGTTTTTTTACGACATAAAATACGTCAGTTAATACCCCACTGGTGGATTAAGAAACATTAGCCACCTTTAGCTTAGCGGTGGTGACGTGAAGTCATGTGACCGTGCTGTAGTTCCTTTATAGCCAACATTAGCTTTTTACTTAAAAAATCAGAGCGTAATGTTAATATGTGGAGATATCTTGTAAACAAGAGAACAATAGTTTGCCAAAGAGATCATTTTCTGCAATACTCCAACATCCAATGGAGACATCCCATTGAACCAGGGAGATGCTGCCTTCAACACAGAAACACAACATCCCTTCTTAAGCTGTATGCCCTGGTGATTTTCTGCCTTTAGCTCCTACACTTGTGTGACCAACCTTCAAGGTAATTATGGGATATTCTGTTGACTCTGCTGACCAAACCATGGCTCATGATTACGAAAAGTGTGTACACATCAACACAGCTCTCTGTGATGGGAACCTGTTACCAGTGAAGGAGTTCTTTGATAACTTTATCAGCAGGAACACTGAAGGCTTTGTGAGCTTTAATGTCTCACTAAACAAGTTAAACACACTCTTTAAACCACAGCCTGCGGGGGTTTCATTTTAAGGTCTTATATCTTCCTTTTGTATGCTTGGTTTGATGTTCGTTCACAAATATATTAGTTCACTTGTGTTTTCCCTCAGGAAAGTATTTAAAGGGGGCCTATTATGCTATTTATTTATCTCGTTACCCTCTGTCTGAAACCAGAGCCCAGTCTGCTCTGATTGGTTAGCTGGCCGGCTCTCTTGTGATTGGTCAACCAGCTTAGAGATGTCCCGCCCCTTAGCCTAGTACAATGTGTTGGAGCGCTAGCCAATAGAAACGCAAGCTGTACATAGTGATGTCACTATGTACAGGAAGTAAACAAAGGAGTCAATGGAAACATTTCAGGCAGGGAGGAGTGAGTGGAGGGAACACAGGGATTGTTGCCTTTGCAGACCATTTACATGCACGAAAACTGTACCACACTACAGGAGAGGGAAAACCACAAAAAGTAATGTAATCCTTTTTTTTTTTTTACAATAATATAGTTTAGAGCAGCGGTTCCCAACCTTTTCCAACTCAGGGCCCACTTAAGAATCTAAAAAAAAATTGTGGCCCACATTCAACCATAAACAATACAGAGGTTAAATAAAGTTCTCAGAGTACTTTTTATTTTTAATTAGAAAAGGAGCTGGCTTTCAGTAACACAGACATTAGTATTACACGGTTAAATTGAATACTCGATTCTGATTGGTCAATTCAGAACATGTGACACGTTGTTAATCCAGTAGAACAGACCGCTGTGTCACGCCCTGGCTCAAGGACGGACAAAGGAAGGAGACCACACATGATTCATCCAATTGAAGTGCATTTATTTAAAGAAACTAAATTAACTATGAAGTCAGTTAATCAGTAATGTGTGTGTGTGGGTGTGTGAACATGCATCAGTATATAATGAAAGAACAAACCAACCAAGGTCCAGTAGAGCCAAGCAACCCAAGAGGAGAGAAAGACTGACTGCTCAGGCACCCATACTTGTAGCTGAGCAGTCAACCCAAATCAGGTGTCAGCAATCTCTCCTGATTTGGGGAGTGGCTAACCAGGGACCTGAGTCTAAGGCCTAGGGGCCGTCACAGCTGTCAAAGACTGTAATGACCGTTGCTAAGGAGGATCAAGAAAGAAAAGGAAAACAGATCTTAATATTTACTAAATGTTTCCACACAAATCATAATGTTTTGCAAATGATTTAGTGGCCCACTTGCAATGCCTTCACGGACCACTAAGGGGCCGCGGCCCACAGGTTGGGAACCACTGGTTTAGAGTAATATTCCACTGTAACTGTCAGATTACGTCAAACTGTCTATTTCTTAAAAAGACCGTGTGAAAATATCACGACTACGTGCTTCAGTTTTGTTGTTCCTGATTTTTGAAATGTTGAAATGTGCTTTCCTAATAAGCTTGTTGACGTCCTCCAGCTCATCTGTCTTTACTAATCCCGGTGTTTCCCTGTTAGCAAACCAGCCGGAGAGGAAATGACTAACTTCCCTGAGTCATGGTCACCTGTCGGCAGGTGGACCGGACGCTCTGTTATGATACCACGCTGTGTCACAATAAAGGCATTTCCTGTTGAGTCTTTACTTGCTTATGAGACGTTATTAGACACTGTGTTTACAAAGTAAAGACAGAACAACGATATTATAAATTACAGGATTTAAAACCAAGTACTTTCAGAGGTAGGTATACTATGATCTTTAAATACGTCATTACCAGTAGACAGGCTAAATCAGAATGAGCTTCAAGTATGTAAAGTATTCATCAAGCACAATGTCTCTTTTTACAGTATGACGTTGGGTCTTTTCCATATTGTCAGTTTAAGACACTTGATATAATACTTGCATGTATTGTGTGAAATATGAGTACTATGGTGGTCAATAGAGTAAATAGATCCTATTTGACTCCAAAATGTGGTGGAGTAGAAGTATAACGTTGCATATAATGTGAAGTTAAGTACAAGTATGTGTCAATTAAAGTACGGTAGTTGAGGAAGAAGTACTACATTCTGAATATACACATATTACTGTCAACTGCGCTCTACTACTAGGCACATTTGAGCATTTCTAAATCACATGTTGTCTAAAAGAAACCGTTATTATTATACTCGATAAGTGCAAGGCAAGGCAATTTTATTTATATAGCACTTTTCTCCGCATGGCGATTCAAGTGCTTTACAGATTAAAAGCAAACCACATTTAAGAACAAATACATGAGTAAAAAGGCATTAAGTGTAATTAAACATGTTTTCAATATGTTTCTGTGGCCTTGTCTTTAAGGCTTGTAAGAGTCTCCACATTCACAGTTTATTATCCTCCATACGGAACAAACCCCAGCAGCCTTCTTTTAAACCCTTTTCTGTTTTGCTGCTGCCTTCTATTAATCAAATAGCTAAAACATCACACACTTCCCTTTCATTCTTGGATTTTAAACCTGTCTGTCTCAACATGTTTTATCACTGTGTCCTAATGCTTCTTTAGTTTTCTGTAAAGCTCCTTGAGTTGAGCCTTATTCTTTAAATGTGCTTTAAAAAAGGAACTTCCTTTGCATTTAAGGTTTTGAAGAACACACACACACACACACACACACACACATACACACACAGTTTAGTTATTAATCAGCTGTGCAGAGAGCAGGTAACAGGAGACTCACCTGAGGTCTGCAGCGTGGCGTTCAGGAGCAGCGAGGCGTTCAGGAGCAGGATCCCCAGCAGAGGAGTTAGCGTCGTCATGGTCTGAGGCTGAAACAGAGAGGAGGAGGATCTGATCTGTCTTTATCTGCAACCCACCTGCAGACCACACCTTCCTGTCACACACACACACACACGCACACACACACACACACACACTGCTTCACAGCATTCACAGCATTCACACACCCGCCTGCACACGCCCCAGAGAATGCAGGAAGCACAGCCTGTGGGCAGAGTCTGAAACACTGCCTGAGGAGGAGCGGAGATACGGACGGCTCTGAGGTTTCATGATTTAGGTTCCTTAGAAGACGCCGCATGAAAGAGGAATTAGCTTTAAACACGGAAATCCTTGTTTTTCGACTTAAACATGTTTGATTCCTCGGTAAAGTTGGGTTTTTAAATACAATTTATTTAATCTGAAGAGTATTTAAAAATAATTGTATAACCATTTTTATTTATTTATTATTTTAATCAGATATTAATAATTTGATTGTATATATTTGTATTTATATTATTTATAGTAAACAAAAAAACATAATAATTACATATTTATTTTTGTACAATATACACATTTTAATGTAACTTCTTCTTCTTGTGTTATATTATTTATTTTTTAAATAATCACATGTTTATTGTTGTTGTATATTGTACAATATACACATTATATTTATTTTATAAAATATATATTCTTTTTTTTTATATATAATGTTTATTTTATTGCATTTTCTTTTACTTTAAACCAAACCGTTGTCATGACTCATGAAAAATGAAATTAGCTAACAAATGTATTTATCTATTTACTTAAACATAGTCCTTTTGGGATAACATTTCTCAAGGTAAAAAGCATTTAAATTATATTTGTATTTGTAATTTATTCACGTAGGACTTTATGGAATCGACTCAATTTTAGAGAAATGTACAATTCAAAAAATATTCAGAAAAGTCAATGATGCATTTGTTGATTGCGCCGACTTATTGGATGACAACATTCACCACAAATATGTCTCATTTCTATAAATATGTTCTACTTCCTGTTTGTGCAGGAAGCGGCACCCTGTGGTTGGAGCCCAAAATACTCCGTCACACATTAAGATGCACGTTTAGGACTTTAGTTAAAAACATGCATTGAAGTTATTACCCCCCAGCAGTGGCGGCTGGTGGAAAATATTTTTGGTGGGGCTATGGAAATGGTGACCAAACCATACTAGGGCGGTCCGGAAGACATTTTTGAGAAATTACCCCTTAAATTATGACTTCTGGTGATGTTAGGGGGGGGGGGGGGGGGACGACGACAAATTGAGGCTTAAAAATATGAGATAATCCATAATCTTCAGTGTGGTTAGCTATGAATCTTCCAAAACTGTGCAACAGTACAGTCAGCCCACACAAACTGCAGAACACTGGTGCTTTGGGAACACTCAAGTGATTTAATTCCCATTTAAAATCAGGAGACTAAATACGAACATTATGTGTGTGTGTGTGTGTGTGTGTGTGTGTGTGTGTGTGTGTGTGTGTGTGTGTGTGTGTGATACTTGCCAACCCTCCCGATTTTCGCGGGACACTCCCGCATTTCTCCCGATTTCTGACAAAATCCGATTTACTCACGACTGTTTCCACTCTGACTTTAATACAGCTACACCATTGTTTGGTTTCCATGGTAGCGCGTCTCTTTAGCGCGCACAACTCAAAGTTTGAGAGGGTGAGGAAGATAGTCACAGCAAACAGAACAAGAATCGACAACTCGACCCTCTGCTCACTCCTTTCCTGTAAAACACAGGTCCAGCCCACACATTGGCTCCATGGCGCTACAGGCATTGCCCTTACATCTACAATAAGAATGTAAATATTAATCTACAGCTCCGGCGATCCACTAGCACCGGAGTCTCCACCTGCAGACGCATCCATCCTCGAACAACTACTGTAGCGTCACCTTGGATACGAGTACAAACAACTCACACACACACAGGCCAGGGCGCTGACAGGGCGCCCTTTGAGCATCAGATCTGACGACGCCGATTGGAAATTATGTTTCGGCGGCATAGTATACAGATAGCAACAGTCAGCTTGTTGGCTGCTGCTGCTCTGGCTGAGGGCTCCTTTCTTACCGCCCGGACGAGAGAGGGTAATGATACACGCTGCGGCCAGGCAGCAAACATGTGACTTATCAGTAACTTTAGACATCGTAAAACAATTTTAAACGAGATTTTATTGTAGATTATACATTTTACTGATACCAACTAGGCCTATATAATATTTACCTTGTTCATTAAAAATAAAAATAAATTAAAAAAATTTTTTTTTAAATATATGTTTTTATTTATTTTTATTTTTTAATAGTTAACCTGTTAAGCCCCGAGCCTTTTTTTCAGGTGTCAGACTCCAAAATGACAAATGACCATATCTTCACTTCTAAAAGGGGTAAATTAATAATCTTTTTTCTCAAAGCAATGATGCACCTGTGAGTTGGATGTAGAAAAGTCAGAATCAATATAGAATTGTTTTATTTTAAAGTAAATTCAGATTGAACACAGTAAAAAAAATTAAATGATAGTGTCCATCCTAAAAAAAACACTACTTATAGTGCAAACCACCCTTGGATGATGGGATAGTAGACAATAAGCTTTAGGAATCCAAACTATAACATATAATAAGTACCCTGTATCAAGATTGATGCAAAGCAAGTGATATTTGACCTTTTTAGAGAGATTTAGCAACAAAAACACCTCTGGGGTCATTTGGGTGGATTTTCGGTCGATTTTGATGATTGACACCTCTTTTGAACCGCTAGAGCCAATAGAATCGAGGGGAGGTTCCTAAAATCCATCTAAACATTACCTTTGAGGAGTGAGAGATATGCACACGCAGGCCAGCAGGGGCAATCAGGCTTAACAGGTTCAATCTCAATCTCTACATGTATGGCAGCCCTTCCATTACCCTGTCTGTTGAATTCCAGTAGTAGTTTATAGAATAACATAAAATAAATATGCATTTGACTGAAACGCATACAGGTAGGTGCACACACACAAATGAGTTCATCGATTTTAATCTATTTCTTATTTCATTTATTTACATTTTTTTACATTTAAAAAGTAATAATATTATTTTGTTTTATTATTTTTGAGGAATATAAACATTGGATTCATGCTTTTGACTCTTTAAAGCACACATGTCAAACTCAAGGCCCGCAGGATCATTTCTAATTCCTATTAGATCTGGCCCGCCGGTATATTGCACGCACACCTTCACTCCATCCTGAGGGTCTCCTCCGCTCAGAGCCTGAGCCCAAACATTGAACTTGCACCCAAGATGAGATGCCAAGTATCTGAGCTAGCATCACAGAGCAGCACACTGAGTTCAATGGATGCTTCCTTCTGCACTTTCTCTCAGGACAACAGGGCATGTTTGGTTTTCTCTTTGAGGGGAATAGTTTTATTGAAGCTGTTGTTGGCCTGTGGGAAAATGTAATCATAAGAAATGACTCTGGAAAAGCTGCAGATAGAGCCATAAGACTCGACTCGTACCCATTTAATTTTGGCCCACTGTGAATTTGAGTTTGACACACTGCTTTATTTAGATAGCTAAAACCTTGTTAATGGTCATTAACTGGTTTCTGGTCTGTGTAGTTAATTCACTCGTTTTTTTTATTATTTATTTGTATAATGTAAAAAGTAATAATATTAATTAAGTTTATTATTTTTGAGAAATATATGTATACGATTTAGTTTTTCTTAGACACAAAAATAAATATACAAATGCATTCCCCCTCCTTTAATAAAATGAGTACAAAAGTAAATAAATAGAAAGAATAGAAAGATTTATAAAAGTAATAAATAGCAATAATACAGTTAAAAGGCATTACTTAAAAAAAGATGTCATATTAAAATAAATACCCTTCATTAAGATGTCAGTACCTTTTTAATGGTCAACAATTGGTTTCTGGTCGTTGTAATTAATTAATAATTAATTTGTAAATATATATATATTTTAATGATAGTAAAAATACATTTATCGTTTTTCTGTATAGGATTTATTTTATTTGACACAATTAGAAATCTTCAAATGTATACACCTTTATTTAGATAATAATACTTTCTTAATGCTCAACAATTGGTTAATATTCTGTATGTATATATATATATATATGATTACAAGACAATGCATATGAATGTAATTGTATTCTCTGATAAAGTAACATAAGTCAAGTTAATCGAATGTTTACTAACGATGGTCATAATAAAGTTGGTTACAGATGATGTGATATTTTAATAGTCATTGTCCTACCTGGTTGCAGAATCAGATTTGATCCACTTCTTCTTCTTTGGTTGCATGAAAGCCATAAATCATCGTATCATCATCTCCTCTTCATCACTCGTCATCCTCACAGCCTCACAGCCTCGCTCTGCAGTGAGTCGTTTCTCCCACAGTCCCTGAACGCAGCAGAGACAGAGGGACGAGGACAATAAGACCAATGTGCTGCGACCTCACCCCGACCGGACACTTCAGGACAGAGAGGATGGGGGGAGGGGAGGGGGGGTCACACTTTGACACAGAGACTTTTAACCGCCTTAAGAACGAGGCCAGAGTACAGCCGTGTCTCTCTCAAGCTTTCATAGAGACACTAATGCATGCTTTTCTTTCTCAGTGTGTTCTATCACCATCCCTGATGGTTTCTTATGGCCTTAAATTCATAATTATTCACTGCAGTTCCTCCATATCTTTCTCATTCATCGAGGACACGACCTGCCTGAACAAAGCCTCACTGTGAGCGCGGTGACTCGGCGTCCTGAAGTTTACTCCGGGTGAAACACGACTTATCCACCAGTTCAGAAACCATCACACAGTGGACTGAAAGCATCGGGATTCATGTTCAAATGCATGAGTTATCGGCTGCTGTGATCAAGTGTCCATACTCTGTTCAAACTATAGAATGTATGAAGTATGGACATTGTCTCCATGATGTTAGACAAACGTTTCTGAGGAGCCTTTGTGAGGTCAAAGAGCCGCCAGCAGTCTGTGCAATGCGCGAAGTGGTGGGAGGTCTGGAGACGTGAGGCAGAGCAGACACTAAACTGGCAGAAGTAGTTATGAATGGAGAAAATAGCGTTTTTTTAAACCAGCCTGTAAACATGAATTATCTTCTGCTATTCACAGCATGCAGGAATATATAGAGTTTTTCTCCATTTCCGACTTTTTTCTCAATTTCCGACTTATTTATAGATTCAGAATTGTTTCTCAAATGTTGAAACCCCTCAGTTAATGATATAGAGCGGTGCCACTTCCTCCGATTCACACACAGCGACAGAATTAATGTTATATTCTACATCAGTGAGCAAATGGCGGCCCTCAGATTAATTAATGTAATGTTTCTTTGTGTTGTACTTGTAGTACTGATACCGTCCACTAGACTAGACTACGTTGCGAGCTGCGTACATGGGGAAACCCTCACAAGAAACACCGGCTGTTGTTTTGCCTGCTGTGACGTTAAGTTACCGCTTGTGTATTTATGCCTTTACAAACTTACAAGTTGTTTTTATCATCTGAATTTAGCGAAACAAGTTTAAAACCAAGACTTTGTTTATTTGAAATCAGATGAAAACAAACTGTCCCGGACCCTGCCGTGTTATCTATGATTACTACACTTTTCATTCATAATTTCAGCGGGAGGGGGGGGGGGGGGGGGGACAGCTGAGTGCGGGTGGACATTCCCCTTATTGTGGACTAAGGGGAATGCAGAGACTGGCTGCAAGTGTCTTAGGTTCAAGTTAACTAATGTCTGGGTTAGTGTTCATGACTTCATGTTTATGTCACCTTAATGGTTCATCTCAATGCACACACATTTTCCGTGCTTTCCAATAGTTTAAAATAGTTTTATTCGACTGTTTAATAACCTGTTCGATACAAACATGACACTTGTAAACATTACATTAAAAAAACGAATTTGTTGAGTGAGCTTATTAGAGGGTGTTCCCTGAACGATTGTAAAATCTCCATGAAGATGTCAGACTTAGTATATGTGTTAATAATTACATACAATACATGGAATGTGTGTGTGTGTGTGTGTGTGTGTGTGTGTGTGTGTATGTGTGCGTGTGTATGTGTGTGTGTATGCGTGTGTGTGTGTGTGTGTTCCAAGTGAATCTGCGGCCCCCTGGTGGCCAGTACATGCATTGTGTGCCCCCACCACCATCCAAGTTGCCCATCTCTCGTCTCCATGTATGATTTCACAACCAGAGGTCCTTCATTTTATTTATATAATTGTAGATGTGGAGGATCTTTTCTCTCCAGTGGAAGCTTTAGGAATAAATGATTTAAAAAGAGTTCATAAAGTTAATCACCACGACACTTGGTCACTGTAAAAAGCCTTTGCATGTAATTAATCTGACACTTTAAGACTGCCATGAAAATATGAATATTCATTAATGTACTATGAATAAATGTGCTGGAGCCATCATTCTGAATGCAGGGTATCTTTAATGTCTCAAACGTTGTCTCATCCTTGTGTTAATATTCAGAATGATTGTAAAGTATATTTTGTGGCAAAGAAGAACGAAAACCACCACTGCACCTCCTCCATTGCTCAACACCCAAAGAGTGTAACCTGGTGCAGGTGCAAAGTGCTGCTGTGCAACATGTCTCATGAAGAAGAGAAACCCACCGGTGGCCCCCGCAGGATCCACGGCATCCGCCTGGATCCATCTTCTTCTTCTTTACAGACGTGCTCCAGCATTTGGACGACCTGTGGTGTAACTGGTTTATCTTTTTAACGTACACACATCTATTGCACGTCTGTCCGTCTGGAGAGGGTTCCTCTATTTGATTATATTACTTTCTTTTGTCTTCCTGTATTTTTCAGAGAGGTTTAATATATTGTATTTTATTGTTATCATCATACCTTTCTCACCTTCTTGTGTCCCTTGAACTGTTATAGTGTTCCTTTGTGCTGCCTGTCTGCAAACTGTTTTGTTTTTGTTCATTTGAGAAGTTTAACCTCAGCTGTAAAAAGTCAATTCACTCTTTTGCCAAAATAAGATACTCAGAACTTTCTTTTCTTTTTCATTTATTTGATTAACAACAAGTCACCAGAAAATAAAATCACACTGAGCTGAACACAAACTTATACGACTGGTCCCTGATCAACTCAAACACTGAAATACATCAGCTGCCTCCTGACCAAACATTAAAGGAACAGTTTGACATATCTCTGAGGAATCCTCCAGCTCTGTCTTTAAGGGTTAACCTGCTAACAACCATCTGAGAAGCCTTCACTGTTTGGGAGAAAGGAACACTTAGCAGGAAGGTCTGCATAGCTAAGCATATTCATCATCATCATCATCATGACCATCATCATCATCTTCATCATCATGTTGTTCTACAGTCACAGAGACCTTCACTGGTAACACCTGAAGTGGGCGCACATCCCAATTGCTAATGAATGGAAACATCCTCTGAGTGAAAGTGTGTGTGAAGGTGTGTATGTGTGTGTTCGTGTCAGGATCAGAGAACGACAGCTGTCCTCTGTTCCAGTCCAGACTCACTCTGACCCTCTGGAGCTTCTTCTGCAGGAGGAGAGGAGTTTCTGGAGCTGATGGTGACCGTGCTGAGTATTCACCTTCATAATAATCTATTCTCCATAATCCAGACTCTATGTCTCCCTTCCTCTGGACAGACTCTGCTAACACACCCAGTTCCCAGCCTGTATTGTCTCCAACCTGGACCTCCCAGCTGTGAGTCCCTGAGTCAAAGCCCTCAGAGCCCAGGACTGAGCAGTCATCAAACCTCTCTGGATTATCAGGAAGTTCTGTTCCTCTCTCCCTCCTCTCCCTCCTCTCCTCTCGCTCCTCTCTCTCCCCACTCTCCCTCCTCTCCTCCTCTTCCTCCTCTCCTCCTCTTCCTCCTCTTCCTCCTCTCGCTCCTCCTCCTCTCCTCTCCTCCTCTTCCTCCTCTTCCTCCTCTCGGTCCTCTTCTTCTCTCACACTGGTCAGATCTTCAGACAGGATGAGTCGTGGATGAGCAGTGTTTGAGTCCAGGATGAGAGGAGAGTAGGACACCATGTCCTTCATCTTGCTCCAGATGTTGAAGCTGAGGTTGCCCAGGTGTTTGGCCTGGTCTATCAGAGCTCCTGAGGGCAGCTGTGGGTCCTCCAGCAGGGGGCGCTGCAGCCTCTCCACTGCAGCCTTGTAGTTGTGCAGGAAGGAGACGTCTTCAGCTCTCAGCTCCTCCTCTGTGTCTCTGACTGTGTGTGAAAGAGCTGCTATCTCTCTGCTCACAGCCTCCATCTTCCTCTCCAGCACCCTCCTCTTCTGCTCCTCTTCCTCCCTCAGTGCAGCCATCCTGGCCTCCTCTTCCTCTTCTAGAAACTGGTGAAGCTTCTTGAACTGCTTCTTAATCTGCGTCTCTGTGCGTCGGGCCTGGACCTTCAGGTGTCCTGCTGTTTGATCAAACTTCACTTTAACTTCTTTAAAAGTCTCTAACTTCTCCTTTAAGGGCTGCAGAGTTTCCTGAAGCTCCTTCCTGTGTTGTCGTGCAGCTTCATCGATGGGTCTGAATCTGTGGTTGCTGTGTTTCTCTGAATCTCTGCAGACGACACACACTGGCTGCTGATGGTCCAGACAGAAGAGTTTGAGTTTCTCAGAGTGCAGACTGCAGAGAGCCTCTGGAGGTCTCTGACCTCTCTCCTGTAGGAAACTCTCACACAGGTTCTTCAACACCAGGTTACAGGGAGGTTCATAATCTGAAGGTCTCTTACAAAGTGGACACTCCTTGATGACTTTCTCCGTCCACCAGGTCTGCAGACAGGCTCTACAGAAGCTGTGGCTGCAGGACAGGACCACAGGATCTTTAAAGATGTCATGGCAGACAGTACAGCAGAAATCTTCCTCTAATCTGGAAGCCATGTTGTCTCTGAGTGAAGCAGAAAACTCAGCAGCAGCCGCTCCCTGTTCCCTGAGACTTACTTTCACTTTGAGTCTTTGTTCTGGTGAAACTCTCAGCGTGTGGATTCAGCAGCTGCTTGAAGTGGAAGGTGTTCCAGTATTCCCTCCTGTGGACGTCCTCTCAGTGGAAGAGGTGTGTTTGGTGTGAAGTTGAATCTTATAGTCCGTGTGTGTGACTGTGTGTGTGTGTGTGTGTGTGTGTGTGTGTGTGTGTGTCGTCTCAACGAGGCAGAGTAACAGCCTGTTTCCTGGTTAGTCACATGCGAGTCAGGTGATAGGTGGAGCTTCATCATGATAGTTTATCAGCTTGAGTTTCATTCAAAAAGCATGAGTCATGTGTGTTTCCTCATTACATCGTGGAAGGCTGGTTTATTATTTATATAGCACTTTTCAACACAATGCAATTCAAAGTGCTTTACAAAAATGAAAGACATTAAGAAATAGTGCAGCAGAAACATAATGTATGTAGTGTCTCTACTTTAAAGAGTCCTCTCCTGCTGATGTTCAGGTGTATATCAGTATGTAGTGTCTCTACTTTAAAGAGTCCTCTCCTGCTGATGTTCAGGTGTATATCAGTATGTAGTGTCTCTACTTTAAAGAGTCCTCTCATGCTGATGTTCAGGTGTATATCAGTATGTAGTGTCTCTACTTTAAAGAGTCCTCTCCTGCTGATGTTCAGGTGTATATCAGTATGTAGTGTCTCTACTTTAAAGAGTCCTCTCATGGTGATGTTCAGGTGTATATCAGTATGTAGTGTCTCTACTTTAAAGAGTCCTCTCCTGCTGATGTTCAGGTGTATATCAGTATGTAGCGTCTCTACTTTAAAGAGTCCTCTCATGCTGATGTTCAGGTGTATATCAGTATGTAGTGTCTCTACTTTAAAGAGTCCTCTCCTGCTGATGTTCAGGTGTATATCAGTATGTAGCGTCTCTACTTTAAAGAGTCCTCTCCTGCTGACGTTCAGGTGTATATCAGTATGTAGTGTCTCTACTTTAAAGAGTTCTCTCCTGCTGATGTTCAGGTGTATATCAGTATGTAGTGTCTCTACTTTAAAGAGTCCTCTCCTAGTAAAAGTAGAAATACTCAGGTCTTGTTCTTCAGTAAAAGTAGAAGTACTCAGATCTTGTACTTGAGTAAAAGTAGAAGTACTCAGATCTTGTACTTGAGTAAAAGTAGAAGTACTCAGATCATGTACTTGAGTAAAAGTAGAAGCACCAGAGTGTAGGAATACTCTGTTACAGTAAAAGTCCTGCATTCAAAATGTTCCTCAAGTGAAAGTAGAAAAGTATTCTCATCAAAATATAGTGAAAGTAGCGACAGTGAAAGTAGTCGTTGTGCAGATTGGTCCATTTCAGAATAATATATATGATATGTTTTATAATGATTGATCATGAAAGTGTTCTCAAAGCTGGTGAAGGTGCAGCTAGTCTGAATGGCTTTGTATACTGCAGGGTAGCTGGTGGATTTACTCCAGGTGGAGCTAAAGTCTGATTGAACACTTGATTAGATTTCACATCATTCATCCACATCTGTGAAGTAACTAAAGGTATTAAATACATGTAGTGGAGCAAAAGTACACCATGTACCTCTGAACAGTAGTGGAGTAGAAGTACAAAGTAACATAACATGGAAATACTCATGTAAAGTACAAGTACCACAACATTTCACTTCAGTAAATCTACTTAGTTACTTACCACCACCACAAGTAAAAAAAAGTTATTAAACAAACAGTAAAAAGTACAAAAACTTGCTTCTGAAATGTGGTACAAGCACCTAAGAATGTACCGTAGGCCTACTTGTGAACATGTACTTTATTACACTCCACCACTGGAGGTCGGACATGTTTGGACACATACTGACAAAGTTAACTCTTTGAGCTGGACCGTCCTCTGGCTGAGGAGTTAGCGTGACTGTGCTCTGTGCAGAAGTGTGACTTTAATGAGTGCAAACACAGGAAGTACATCAGACCTTCATCACACACACACACACACACACACACACACACACACACACACACACACACACACACACACACACACACACACACACACACACACACACACACACACACACACACACACACACAACACACACACACACACACACACACACACACACACACACACACACACACACACACCACACACACACACACACACACCACACACACACACACACACACACACACACACACACACACACACACACACACACACACACACACACACACACACACCCACACACACCACAACACCACACACCACACACACCCACCACACACACACATCACATCAGGGCTGTGGAACACAATCAGATGCATCTATCCAGGCGTGTTGGCTATGAATTGCAAAAGGGAATATTGATATTTAAAAGAGAGGTGCAGGAATAAGTCCTAAACCCTGAAATGAGTCACTAGCATCAGCAGTTGATCCCTTTCGGGCCCCTGGTCCGGAAGTCAATGGTTTTCTGAATGTGTTTTTGGTTGTTATCCTGAAATGAGGTCTGTGGTTAACACAAGCTGAAGAGATTTTAAGATTTTGTTCTACCCCATAAAATACATCAGTAAATACGCCACTGGTGGATTTAAAAACAGAGGCTGCTAACAAGAGTCTAGATGAGACGACTAAACGTCGTCACGCCCAACATTAGCCACCTTTAGCTTAGCGTGGTGACGTGAAGTCATGTGACCGTGCTGTAGTTCCTTTATAGCCCAACATTAGCCACCTTTAGCTTAGCGGTGGAGACGTGAAGTCATGTGACCGTGCTGTAGTTCCTTTATAGCCCAACTTTAGCCACCTTTAGCTTAGCGGTGGAGACGTGAAGTCATGTGACCGTGCTGTAGTTCCTTTATAGCCCAACATTAGCCACCTTTAGCTTAGCGGTGGTGACGTGAAGTCATGTGACCGTGCTGTAGTTCCTTTATAGCCCACCATTAGCCACCTTTAGCTTAGCGGTGGAGACGTGAAGTCATGTGACCGTGCTGTAGTTCCTTTATAGCCCAACATTAGCCACCTTTAGCTTAGCGGTGGTGACGTGAAGTCATGTGACCGTGCTGTAGTTCCTTTATAGCCCAACATAAGCCACCTTTAGCTTAGCGGTTGTGACGTGAAGTCATGTGACCGTGCTGTAGTTCCTTTATAGCCCAACATTAGCCACCTTTAGCTTAGCGATGGTGAAGTCATGGGACCGTGCTGTAGTTCCTTTATAGCCCAACATTAGCCACCTTTAGCTTAGCGGTGGAGACGTGAAGTCATGTGACCGTGCTGTAGTTCCTTTATAGCCCAACATTAGCCACCTTTAGCTTAGCGGTGGTGACGTGAAGTCATGTGACCGTGCTGTAGTTCCTTTATAGCCCAACATTAGCCACCTTTAGCTTAGCGGTGGAGACGTGAAGTCATGTGACCGTGCTGTGGTTCCTTTATAGCCCAACATTAGCCACCTTTAGCTTAGCGGTGGTGACGTGAAGTCATGTGACCGTGCTGTAGTTCCTTTATAGCCCAACATTAGCCACCTTTAGCTTAGCGGTAGTGACGTGAAGTCATGTGACCGTGCTGTAGTTCCTTTATAGCCCAACATTAGCCACCTTTAGCTTAGCGGTAGAGACGTGAAGTCATGTGACCGTGCTGTAGTTCCTTTATAGCCCAACATTAGCCACCTTTAGCTTAGCGGTGGAGACGTGAAGTCATGTGACCGTGCTGTAGTTCCTTTATAGCCCAACATTAGCCACCTTTAGCTTAGCGGTGGTGACGTGAAGTCATGTGACCGTGCTGTAGTTCCTTTATAGCCCAACATTAGCCACCTTTAGCTTAGCGGTGGTGAAGTCATGTGACCATGCTGTAGTTCTTTTATAGCCCAACATTAGCCACCTTTAGCTTAGCGGTGGTGAAGTCATGTGACCGTGCAGTAGTTCCTTTATAGTCCAACATTAGCCACCTTTAGCTTAGCGGTGGTGACTGAAAAGTCATGTGACCGTGCTGTAGTTCCTTTATAGCCCAACATTAGCCACCTTTAGCTTAGCGGTGGTGACGTGAAGTCATGTGACCGTGCTGTAGTTCCTTTATAGCCCAACATTAGCCACCTTTAGCTTAGCGGTGGTGACGTGAAGCCATGTGACCGTGCTGTAGTTCCTTTATAGCCCAACATTAGCCACCTTTAGCTTAGCGGTGGAGACGTGAAGTCATGTGACCGTGCTGTAGTTCCTTTATAGCCCAACATTAGCCACCTTTAGCTTAGCGGTGGTGACGTGAAGTCATGTGACCGTGCTGTAGTTCTTTTATAGCCCATCATTAGCCACCTTTAGCTTAGCGGTGGTGACGTGAAGTCATCTGACCGTGCTGTAGTTCCTTTATAGCCCAACATTAGCCACCTTTAGCTTAGCGGTGGTGAAGTCATGTGACCGTGCTGTAGTTCCTTTATAGCCCAACATTAGCCACCTTTAGCTTAGCGGTGGTGAAGTCATGTGACCGTGCTGTAGTTCCTTTATAGCCCAACATTAGCCACCTTTAGCTTAGCGGTGGTGACTGAAAAGTCATGTGACCGTGCTGTAGTTCCTTTATAGCCCAACATTAGCCACCTTTAGCTTAGCGGTGGTGACGTGAAGTCATGTGACCGTGCTGTAGTTCCTTTATAGCCCAACATTAGCCACCTTTAGCTTAGCGGTGGTGACGTGAAGTCATGTGACCGTGCTGTAGTTCCTTTATAGCCCAAAATTAGCCACCTTTAGCTTAGCGGTGGAGACGTGAAGTCATGTGACCGTGCTGTAGTTGCTTTATAGCCCAACATTAGCCACCTTTAGCTTAGCGGTGGTGACGTGAAGTCATGTGACCGTGCTGTAGTTCTTTTATAGCCCATCATTAGCCACCTTTAGCTTAGCGGTGGTGACGTGAAGTCATGTGACCGTGCTGTAGTTCCTTTATAGCCCAACATTAGCCACCTTTAGCTTAGCGGTGGAGACGTGAAGTCATGTGACCGTGTTGTAGTTCCTTTATAGCCCAACATTAGCCACCTTTAGCTTAGCGGTGGAGACGTGAAGTCATGTGACCGTGCTGTAGTTCCTTTATAGCCCAACATTAGCCACCTTTAGCTTAGCGGTGGTGACGTGAAGTCATGTGACCGTGCTGTAGTTCCTTTATAGCCCAACATTAGCCACCTTTAGCTTAGCGGTGGAGACGTGAAGTCATGTGACCGTGCTGTAGTTCCTTTATAGCCCAACATTAGCCACCTTTAGCTTAGCGGTGGTGACGTGAAGTCATGTGACCGTGCTGTAGTTCCTTTATAGCCCCACATTAGCCACCTTTAGCTTAGCGGTGGTGACGTGAAGTCATGTGACCGTGCTGTAGTTCCTTTATAGCCCAACATTAGCCACCTTTAGCTTAGCGGTGGAGACGTGAAGTAATGTGACCGTGCCGTAGTTCCTTTATATCCCAACATTAGCCACCTTTAGCTTAGCGGTGGTGACGTGAAGCCTGGATCCATCTTCTTCTTCTTTACAGACACATGCATGTTCCAGCATTTGGAGGACCTGTGGTGTACATGGTTTATCTTTTTAACGTACACACATCTATTGCACGTCTGTCCGTCTGGAGAGGGTTCCTCTATTTTATTATATTACTTTCTTTTGTCTTCCTGTATTTTTCAGAGAGGTTTAATATATTGTATTTTATTGTTATCATCATACCTTTCTCACCTTCTTGTGTCCCTTGAACTGTTATAGTGTTCCTTTGTGCTGCCTGTCTGCAAACTGTTTTGTTTTTGTTCATTTGAGAAGTTTAACCTCAGCTGTAAAAAGTCAATTCACTCTTTTGCCAAAAAAAGATACTCAGAACTATCTTTTCTTTTTCATTTATTTTATTAACAACAAGTCACCAGAAAATAAAATCACACTGAGCTGAACACAAACTTATACGACTGGTCCCTGATAAACTCAAACACTGAAATACATCAGCTGCCTCCTGACCAAACATTAAAGGAACAGTTTGACATATCTCTGAGGAATCCTCCAGCTCTGTCTTTAAGGGTTAACCTGCTAACAAACATCTGAGAAGCCTTCACTGTTTGGGAGAAAGGAACACTTAGCAGGAAGGTCTGCATAGCTAAGCATATTCATCATCTTCATCATCATCATCATCATCATCATCATCATCATCATCATCATCATCATCATCTTCATCATCATGTTGTTCTACAGTCACAGAGACCTTCACTGGTAACACCTGAAGTGGGCGCACATCCCAATTGCTAATGAATGGAAACATCCTCTGAGTGAAAGTGTGTGTGAAGGTGTGTATGTGTGTGTTCGTGTCAGGATCAGAGAACGACAGCTGTCCTCTGTTCCAGTCCAGACTCACTCTGACCCTCTGGAGCTTCTTCTGCAGGAGGAGAGGAGTTTCTGGACCTGATGGTGACCATGCTGAGTATTCACCTTCATAATAATCTATTCTCCATAATCCAGACTCTATGTCTCCCTTCCTCTGGACAGACTTTGCGAACACACCCAGTTCCCAGCTTGTATTGTCTCCAACCTGGACCTCCCAGCTGTGAGTCCCTGAGTCAAAGCCCTCAGAGCCCAGGACTGAGCAGTCATCAAACCTCTCTGGATTATCAGGAAGTTCCTGTTCCTCCTCTTCGTCCTCTCGCTCCTCTTCCTCCTCTTCCTCCTCTTCCTCCTCTCGCTCCTCTCCCTCTCTTCCTCCTCTCGCTCCTCTCCCTCCTCTTCCTCCTCTTTCCTCCTCTCGGTCCTCTTCTTCTCTCACACTGGTCAGATCTTCAGACAGGATGAGTCGTGGATCAGCAGTGTTTGGGTCCAGGATG